CTCATAATTTTCAGGCAAATCACAAGATAAAAATTAACGTCTGAGGAGGGTGAAGTCTGTGCAGGATTTCTGAGCCGCAGCCACGTGCAGCGCAAGGGGATCCACTTCAAAGGGAGGAGCCACTTCATTAAAAAAGGGAACTAGGGCTTTTGATATCAAGATAAACATCCTGATACACATCAAAGCAGTTTCCTCTCCTTGTCCTTAGACACCCTCTCCTGCTTAAATTCTGGATTTTGGAATTATACTTCTGCCTAATCCRTGCTGTGCTGTTTCCCATCTGGATGGTTGTTTGGCAGGGGAGATTCTGGGTGTTGTTTCATGGTGTTTGAGACCTCCAAGCCATGGCCATGAGCCTAAATACTTGGCCATTTCCTTCTGYTCCACATATGAAGAACTAAGAGTTGCTATTTCCATTGAAAAGCACCACGTTTTTAAAGGAAAGTGCAATGTAGAAATGCCCAAAGGCTAACCGGATTACCTGAATGTCCAGGAGCRTCCAGACCTCCAGACACCATGCCCCACAGTGGCTGCAGGCCCATCTCTGGCAGCAGGCTGGATATTCAGCAGCCTGGGATAGAGCGCTGAGGTGTGGACACTGACCACTGACACATGAGGACGCAGGCACTGCGTGTGCACAGGGTGCTGGTGGGAGTCATATCCACCGTGGCAAACCTCTCCTTCAGCGTCTGGAGATGAAGTGAAGAACTTTGAGAGGCTCAAGGGCCAGGTCCTGTTCCTAATGCCAATATGTCATGCTTTTGCTGTGGCCAGGAACTGTGTCAGGGTGGCCATCGGAGCTGGGTTGCAGGATGAGCTGTGGTCAGGGGGTCCATGTCACCAGGTCACTYCAGGGACTGGGGCACTCTTAGGGATAGGAAAGAGGAGGGGCTGATGCACTGGGGAAGCTGCAGGACTGAGAATTCAGCTACTGGCTGAATGTCAACTACAGACACAGTCAAAAGCTGCTCTCAAGGCAGTTGTTAGGGTCACACTACCTGTACCCTGGATTTGCAAGGTGGGACTGGGCACAGGTGGGCATCCAGCATCACCTCGGGTCACAGAGTGCTGGTGTTGGCTGGCAGTGAGGTACAGGGGCCAAGGCGTGCTGTCACTGGCAGGTAACATCTTCTATTTCAATATATTATACATTGCTGGGGCAGGCCATGCAGGAGGGAGAGGATCRGGAGAGTGGTACAGCATTGATTTGCTCCAGAATGGGTTAAAAACAGGGAAAAATCCTCTGCCCAAGCCTCCACAACTCCAGGGATCAGCTCTAGCTGTCCTGGTAGCTGGCTGTTGAATTTCAGCTGCCCTGTTTTGTGGGATGGAGGCAAAAGAAGCTGTATGCCAAGGCTGCCCAGAGCAGCATCCTCATCATTCCTGGGCCACCAGACAGCAACATGGAAATCCTGAGACCTGCTGGTACTTTCACTTTTATTTCCAGCCTGGAGAAAACCTTGCATCCCCCAGAGGGAACCCACCTTCCTCTCTTTGGGCTTCTCCTGGGTTCTCATGGCTTTCACCCCAGCCCTGGAAGTGCAGACACTGCGTGTGTCTGGTGCCAGAGGGTGTCACCAGGCACAAGGCTTGTTTCAGGTGGACACCCCKAGGAAAGGCGACATCTGTGTCTGTCTCAGACCCTTCCACAGGGTCTTCCCATCCCCTTGTGCCACCCCGTTTCCCTTGCCGGAACCACCACCTGCGCTGCATCCCAGAACTGCGGGCCAGCTGGAAACAAACTGGGGATCAGCCCTACCCCACGGCCCCTCTAGCACCGCCCTGAGCCCGGCCTGGAGGGGAGCAGGGGACACTGGAAGCCTGGGCCATGGGACATTTTGGGGACAGAGGCTGGAGCAGAGGGTGCCGTGCCAATACCCACGCCTGCCCGGCAGCACCCTGCACACAGGAGGCGGCGGTGAGTGAAGCAGACCCCACGGCGGGGGCACGTGTGTCAGCCCTTTGGCACTGGGGACACAATCCGGCGGGGGGCACTGGGGACACAATCCCGCGGGTGGCACTGGGGACACAATCCGGGGGGCACTGGGGACACAATCCGGCGGGTGGCACTGGGGACACAGTCCGGGGGGCACTGGGGACACAATCCGGCGGGTGGTACCGGGGACACAATCCGGCGGGTGGCACTGGGGACACGATCCGGCGGGTGGCACTGGGGACACAATCCGGCGGGTGGCACTGACACAATCCGGGTGGCACTGGGGACACAATCCG